AGAACCTATTGCAATAAAACGGCAATTTCATACTTTAACCCCTAATAGAATTGAAATTTATCAGATTATTGTTTTTGTTCCTTGAATATATCCTACAATTGTTCTTGTTTCTTTTTATTTCTTGTGACTATACTTTAAACAAATTGTAACATGTCATGGAGTTCTACTCAACTTGTTACATTTTTATTTATTTCAAGGAGTTTAGTTTGCACTAAAAATGACATCAGTCTTTAATTAATTTTTAATACAACAGAATCTTCCTCTGAATCACCGAAAGTCACAAAAATTCAAGAAGAATATTGGTCTCTAAAACCAGAAACAGAGCCAGAGCATTGGCCAGAACATGAAAAAGTAACAGCAAACTCACTTAAACTAAAAGAAATCCCAGAACAACCGGAAATTTGTCAGTTGCCAAACAAAGTGCCCGAAAAATCAGAAAATACTGACAAATGGATTCGAAGAGTGTTATATTGGGGACGAACAGATGGACAAACAGAATTAGAAGGTGATGAATATGTGGAGCCTGAAATGATTAAAAAAGATAACAATGATGTCGAACCAGATTGGAGCGCATGGATGAACATTGAACATGGTTATGCATTCATACAGGGTGAATTTCTTTTTTATTACAGTAAGAATGTATATGAACTAACACTCTCAATATATTGCCTGTGCTCCTCGCCACTGTAGATATCTTTTCGTTGGATACATATCAGAACTAATACTCTTATCACCTTGAAGGTACTGGAACATTGAGTTACTGACTAATTGGGGCATAGTATGTTCAAGATGATAATATGCTTTACATCATGTAGAAATTTTTCTAAAAAAAAAAATTTTCCATGTATGGTACTTCGAGGAATCGAGCTATCGAGGTATCGCACCTGGAACATGTAGGTTTTGAGGCTGAATTAGAAATCTGCTACAGTGGCGTGTAAGACAAGTGAAACTAAGCAATATTTCATATTTCCCATTTTTTTTTCCTATTTTAATCCGTTTAAAATGTTCTTTGGTATTTAGATTGGCCAAACAACCAAGATTGGCCACAAAATTTGTGGTCCGACTATTGCCATTGCCAAAAAGTGGTTGAAGGTGGTGGTGAAGAAAGAATTTGGCCAAAGGAACCTCCAGATTTCACCGATGAGGGATTAATAAGAATGTGGACTGATGGTGATATATTTTTGTATTCATTACATTTTCTTGTCTATTAATTTTTCATCTTTCAGTTGTGAATGTACATATGGGTGGACAAGTGCGTGAGTGCGTGCATGCATGTGTGTAGTTAACGTGTATGGTTCAGTACAAGTTTATTTTTAATTTAAAATAAACAATACGGCTGAATTTTGACCCTAGGACCTTGGCTAGAAAGAGCGATTGGTACTGGACGCTTAAAAGAGTATAAAATACGCGTGTTAAAATTCGCGTGCAATAGGTACGCCAGACTCCGAATGACACGCTTGAGTCAATACAACTCGAAATCTTAGTTTATTTTTTTCAATCCTCTATATCCGTTTATTTTAACATTAGAAGTGAGGTAAACAAACAGGCAGGGTTTGTAAACATTTTTCTTCAGAAATTTATATAAAAAATGGAATGACATGTTACTGTGACATGTGAACTTTAAAACGCTTCCCTGTAAACTTGGCAATTTCGACATACGATACTTTACGTCGGAGGGGTCGAATAGCTCGTAGTCAACGCAGCTATCGAGCATATAAACTGGACGCTGCAAACGGAGCGACGAGCTACTATGTTTCGAAACTAACTACTACTGTTATGCTTCTATGTTTCGAAAATTAAAGTACATTAAATAAGTGTTAACAATTACACTTGAAATCGGTATACTGATTAAACTCTACTGCTCATTCGTAAGGCAGATTCCACCTGAGAACAATTAGCAAGAAACTCTAGGGGTTGCTTTTTGTAAATATACATTTGAAGACATTTATCATTAAATTACAATATTTAATTTACTCATCGTAGATCGAGAACACCTGAAGGAGCTAAACGGGTCTCTGTCACGGATTTTTGTCATCCAAGTACACAGAAGGTGTACAATCTTTAGTATGAAGTTTTTGTTTCGCTATAGTTTTAAACCTCGTAAATGAATATCAGTCGGAATCCTATTATGGAAGCGTATATATTACCTCTTAAATGACTTTGAGACTTTGTGAAGAAGACTATCAAGAACAGCTAGTTTATTTTTATTCCTCGCATTAATGTTATGTCTGTAAATATAACTAAGAAGTCTTAAGTCTTGTTCTTGTATCCTTAATTGCATACAATCAGCCTCTTTCGTAGTCATAATAAGAGAATTACAAATTACTAAAGCGCCACAGTCGCGCCATTGCAGCGCTCCTACAAGCGTCTGATTTGAAGGCGCCTTTATTCCTAATAAGCAATGGTCGGAAAAAGGTGTTCCACATATATAGATACATGTATAGACATAGCTACATGGAACGACAGTTGTTAAAACCACCGAATATTAATTAATTACTTTTTTTAATTCCGGATTACCGGAAATGGTTTTATTGCATTGGATTTTAAAGTAATTCTAATGGTGCCATATAAAAAATGCTGTAGATAACTGACAACCTTGTTACCGTTCCGTCAATGTGACCTTCAATATACGGGACGCGGTGCGGTATCTAAAGCGCGGAAGGGACGGAGAGTGACCTTTCTCTTTACTTTTTTATTCACTGCTTTGGTAAAAGGTCTCTATTGCATTTTTTACATGGCACCATTAGAATTGCTTTAAATCCAACTTCGACTTTCTGGGTCAGTAGTTTTGTCTTAGGATGCAGTTTCCATTCCATTTCCCGAAATTCGAAAAATAATTAATTAATATTTAGTCGTTTTAGCTATATCTATATCCTTGTAGCTATATCTATATTTGGAACACCTTTTTTCTGACCATTGCTAATAATTTTTTATCCCCTAGACGAACTATTGCTGTCTCTCCCCGACCCGCCTCTGCTGGACCCTGAGCCTTGCCCCAACTACCTGGAGCTTAGTGTGCAGTGGCCGGAGTTCACATGTGGTGCAAGTCGCGCACCACACTCGTCTGAAGCCGATCTCTCATTGCCACGTGAGTATATTAGTAGCATTAGAGTTCGTCCAGGGAAGTACTAACACCTTACCTATTTCTGCCGCCAAGCAGTAATGTTATTATTACTGTGTTCCGGTTTTGGAGGGTAACCCTTAATCTGGTTAAATTACAGGCACATGGGACTTGTCTTTGTGGAACTTATGTCTCAGGGTGTCGGACGCAGTGGCAGCGCCCCTCAGATCTTAGCGATTTAATGCTCTGAGTGGCATTGCAACTGTTATGGACAGGCCTGTAGTTTACTATCAGGCGCACGACTTGTTCGGGCTGTCACTGGATGTTATAAAAAAATGTTGTAATCTGAAATAAGCCAATTATTTTTTTGTTGATGCAATCATCTAGATATTTCTTTTTAATTTATTTAGGAAAACATACAGTATTATACAAATCTTCCAAAAAATTTAACACAGCTAAACCATGATTGTTACAAGTGCTTGTGTATTAAATGTGGTGACTTAGGGCGCGTGTCCACGCTAAGAAAAGTCGCCGGGTCTATGCAAGAATTCGTGTCATTTCTACACGAACTGTGTACACTGACTCGGCGTCGGACAAGAAATAAATCGTGTGCACCCTGCACGGTGCACTCTGCCGCTATTGTAAGGGTGAAGTGCATTGTCAGTAAACGAACGTGGAAGGGTGTTGCTTAGTGGTCAACATATCCAACAACATATTTCTTCCCACAGTCGGTAGTAAGACGACAGCTACCTGAAAGACTCGTAATGTACTGACACATTTTACCCTACACACGTCCGTACGAAAGCATTCGTAACATGTACATACTTCATCATTTTCTCGTCTGCAACAGATCCGACATGTTTTCGTGGCTAGATCCGACAAAATTCAAGTACAAGACCATTCTCATCTTTTCTGTAGGAGACACGTCGAATTTCTTAGCGTGTACGCGCGTGTAACTGTGCTTTTTTGTACAATTACTTTTCATTTTCGTTCAGTAACTGTTTACTTTTGTACATAAATTGTTATTTTTGTGCAGTAACTGTTTACTTTTGTACAGAAATTGTTTATTTTTGTACGGTAACCATTTACATGTGTGCAAGAACCAGTAATATAGTGTAAAATAATCAAATTCTTTGTGTACATTAACAGTAAGCAGCGTAGCAGATCTGGAATTGGATCACCTGGAAGACCTGGAATTAAGCGAAGCCGCAGGCGAAGCTCGCACAATACCGGAGATTACTCATCTCACGACTGGCGTAAGACATTTTATAACATGATTGCGATTTAAACTGTTACGCCAATTTTACTATATCTAGCCTTCAATTTACATTTCATTTTGAATAAATATAAAACGCATGCACTAGTAGTCCCGCACTATGGATACCCTGAAACGCGGGTGCCATGGACGCACACATCGACCCCTCCTACGTAAAGTATCGTATGTCGAAATTGCCAAGTTTACAAGGGAGCATTTTAAAGTTGTCCGTTTTATTCGGCAAAGCTCGTTCATGTAGATGCTCGTAGATGATAAGCATAGATATAGGATTTTATAATACTCTAAGTAAGTAACGAGCAGCAAACTGAGAAATGCGAAAGTCATGTGTTATGCTTATTTTAGTGAGTTGAGAACTTTAAAAGGCTCCCCTGTAATCTTGGCAATTTCAACATACGATTCTTTACGTAGGAGGGATCGACATAGACAATCATAAATCACACAGAAACTCACGAGAGAGACTGAGAAAGACCTCTGCGCGGTACAGCACCACGGTAACCGTGCAGCCACGTAGGCAGTTAAAATCTTTCCATCCTCCTGTCATTATTGTACCAACTAGTTTTTTGTTTCACTTATAATACGTTCTAGATCAAAGGGTATTATTGTTTTTAGTATCAACACGTTGTACTTCGCAGACACGGATCCTTTCCAAGACTTAGAGAGAATAACGTTTGAGCCATAGTCTACCACACTAACACAATGCGGCTTGAAGAGATCTCACTTCCCTCCTTCCACATGCAGGTTACGCCATGATGATTTTCCTTCACTCTTCCCTAGTAATCATTTTTATAATTTTATTCTAGCTACCATTAACGTTCGTCGAAAGCAGTAGCTACGAAGAATACCCAACGCGAGACGTCGGGTTCAACAGTGTCACTGCTGGGGCTATGCCCACTCGTCCCTCTACTGGGACAAACATTCCTACTCTTGGAAACTTCAAAGTCTCTAGTAACAATATTGATATTCCCAAAAGTGGTAAGCCCACTAGCGGAATGAGTTATTACCAAGGCACATATTATTCTGAAAAATCTTATATGCCATCTTCTAACTTTGTTTCCACTAGTGGATATGACATTCCCACTCGTGGGATAAGCACCAAAGACGTTATATTAGCCGGGTCATTCAAGAATAACATGACTTTTGATTTCAATTTTGAAACAATTCAAAATACTAAATTTGAAGGTGTAAAACATATAGATGGGTCCAACAATTGTTTTGGTCCAATAGTGGGACGAGGCAGAGGAAGACTAAACATTCAAGATACTTGTAAAAGCAACAATATGAGGTACTATAAGTAACTATATATATTTATTATCACGTTTAAGGTAACTTAAACCTTAAGTTTGTTGGTTTTTGTTAAAAGTTTAATGTAGTGTTAAAATTCTAAACTAACTAATTTAGGCCACTGACGGGATGGCTTGACAAAGGATTTGTAGATAAACGGTACAACAATAGTGTTATATATAAGTCAAAATACGTGAAATTCAAAATTGTACAATTGATAAACGTAAAATTTGGTTATCTACACGTCATGCGTCAATAAAACACAGACAGGGACACTGGCTTTATTTCAGAATGTATTTTTTTTTACAAACGACATTAAAACCATTTGAAAAATGTATATCGTATAGTATACGTGTACTATTTAGTTCAGTTGATATAAAAAAATCATTGGTATAAATTATTGAATACAGCGGTTTTCGTGTAAAATTTCGAGGTAAGTTTTATTTCTATCGTAAATATTTTTAGGAGTCGGTATTTTCACACTGTATACATCTTCAATTGTACTATATATTTTTCCAACTGTCGTGGGGAATCTCTCTTAAGGCCGAGTCGTCAGTAGGCGCTTGCATGCAGGGATGCCGAAGGATCCCCTTGCCGACCCGTCCCGTCAGTGGGCGCTGGACCTTAGTGAGTCTAAGTGCAGTTGTGCCATATCGTTTACTCTGCTAATTTAAACCAGAGTTTCGAACTGAGGCAGGTAGGTATAAGTTTTTGAAAGGGATTGTTTAGGGCTCAATTTACGTCGCCGTGGAACGCATTATGAACTTTTATGCCAATTGTGTAACGTATGAATAAAGTGAAATAATCATTTATTCCTTAAAACTTTTACACTTGAAAACGTCATTTTTAAGCTACTGCTCGTTCACTGTGCTGACTTCCCTGAGAAGAACGAGCAAGAAACTCTAGGGTTTGCTCTTTTCAAACAAATGCTATGGAATACACTTTAAATCATATTTGTGTGGAATCTAAACTCATGTCGTCTTTCCATATTTGTATATTGTATACAGGGTGTAAATTTGAAACGGGGCAGCAAGGCCAGCTACCTTAATCGTTGTAGTTACAGGAAAACGGTTCTATTAGACTATCCATGAATTTTGAAGATATTTTGATATGCATTCACAGATGGTGCAGGCAGCAAGATAAAAGGCAATTTTTACAAAACTTTTTTATGCCATCCGATCCTGTCTCTGGTGAGGATCAATAGTCTCTATGAGACCAACTGAGGTAGGAGTACTCGAAATGGCAGAAATCGCAAAAAACCTTTTATCACACATTTGAAGTGAAAACTTTTTGTTAGAAACGAAACTGGCCACTACTCTACAAATAAGACTTAAGTAAAACCAAATTATAATCATATCTCTATTTGTTAAACTTGGAACAGCTTTGTTTTGTTTTGTTAATAGAGAATTGTCACTTTTAAGACGATTTTTAATCAAAATGTTCTCAAGTGTGTAAACAAATTTATTGGAACACATGGTCCTATCAAATGGTCGCCGCGCAGTCCTGATCTGACGCCCCTTGATTTTTTCTTTGAGGCTATGTAAAAAATTAAATTTATAAAAAAAAATACAACAGTGTTCAAGAATTGAAAGACGCACTTGCATCAATTTTCAATAGAATCCATCTGAGTAGGATTTCAGCCGCTACTTGCTCTTTGCGGAAGAGAGCGAATCGATGCATCCGCCAAGGCGGCAATCAATTCGAGCGCTTCTTATCATAGACTTTTTATGTTATTTTGCTTTTCGTTATTGTTTTTATTTTGAAATACATAGTGCGTTGTCAATTTGTTAGTTTCCTTATTGTTAGTTTCGTTAACTACCTAGAATAACTGATTACTAAATAGATCCCTACAAAATGTATGGTAAAAAGTTTTTTGCGATTTCTGACATTTAGAGTAGTTTTACCTCAGTTGGTCCCATAGAGACTATTGATCCTTACTAGAGACCGGATCGAATGGTGTAAAAAAAGTTTTGTAAAAATGGCCTTTTATCTTGCTGACTGTACCATTTTTCCAGAATCTGTGAATGCCTATCAAAATATCTTCAAAATTCATGGATAGTCTTCTAGAACCGTTTTCCTGTAACTACAACGATTAAGGTAGCTGGCCTTGCTGCCCCGTTTCAAATTTATACCCTGTATGGCTTTTCAATTGAAACACTTGATGTAAGTTTTAAAGTTAGGAAAATGATAATCTTTATGTTATGCACCGAAATCTTAGGGTGCATACAGATCTGGCGAACGTGCTGCATGAGCGCTGCGCGCGGGCTGCTCGCGTGCCGCACTTGTACTGCACGTGTGCACGCATGTGCAATAAAATAAAATCGCAAACAGGCGCATTTGCGGTAATTCTCAGACAAGCGTTCAGTACCTAATTTCTATGGCAATTTTTATTATTTAACTATTCGATTTTTTGTCGTGCAATATTATTTAATAATTACACGATAATAATTATACTTAATTGAATATTTAAATAATAAAAATTGCCACGGAAATTAGGTAGTGAGCACTAGTCTGAGAATGGCTGTTGTACGGCACCCTTATTGTAAAAACGCATCCGGTTTCCCATAAAATAGTCGTTTACCTTAGTTAAACGAAACCGTGGTACCATGAGTGGACTTAGTTCTAATGTTAATATTATGGATATCTTCTTTCGTAATGAAATTATGTAATATACATTTACGAAACCGACCGAGAAACCGACGGTACACAGAACGAATCGACGATGAAAACGTTTTTGAAACACAAATATGGTTTATATATCTGCCGCGTTACCCCACATGAGAATCCCGTAGGACATTATACTATGGAAGTAACTAAAGTAAACGAGTCTAGCAGGTGCAAAATCGGTAAGCTCACGGATTCGGAGCTTAAGCTGTTAGCCAAGGAAAATATATGTGGAAACCATTGAAGTTTGCTAAGGTCACTCTCAAAAAGTCTGCTTTAGTCACAAGGTCTAACTTTTCTCCATTTCTATTATTGGGCTAGTGGATTTCACATCAGGTAATTTAAATTTAACCCACTATCTTCTTGGCATTCAGCAGTAAATCGTTAGCATTAAACCAATAAACTACCTTTGAGAAAGTATCGTCACAGATTTAATATTACTACATAACGGATACACCTCTCATACAAAATCGAAATTTTCCTACGCTATAATAGCCTACTAAATCTGACTGACACCAGGCACTCACTCCGAGGAAAAAGGTGAAAGGTGTAACCCCAACAAGCCGTGACCAGGTTCACGAAAAACAGAAAACTTCAGGTCCACAAATTTATTTCAAGTCGGTTAAGGAAAGAAAAGGTAACAAAGAAGTAAGGCTAAAAGGTATGTATAGAAAACAAGTACATTATTATAAAACACTTCCTAACTTAATGATGATGAATATAAAGATATTAAGTAGGTACACTTACCCCAAAAGGGCCGAGATATACTGAATTACGGATACGTATTCGTAGGTACATGATAAGGCTGTAATGGTTGTAAACTTATTAAAATTGGCACATGATTTAGATTATAGAATTAGTAAAGCTTTAACCAGCTCCTTACGCTGTCGCGATCGAGCAGGGAGCGAAGGTGGAACGAAACAAAATCAGAATGCGAGGCAAAAGAACTATGTAACAATTCAAAATAGTGCCAGGAACCGGAGAAAGGCAATAAAAAGGTGGGATGACGATGTAAGGAGGTCACACCGTCACCATGGAATCTAAGCACGCGCCCAGAGAGGTGAAAACGTTGCCCGCCGTGTGCAGTCTTGCGGAGCCGAATGCTCATAAATGAAAGACTCGTACGAGCGCTTGTGCCGATGTCGGCACACTCAGGTACATTTATCGCGTAACCTTGAGCGAGTGACGGAGCAGTGGTATCGTTAATATTACAATAAACTTGAGCCAGAAAACATTCCCGCACAAACCGTATCTAGTTTATATCTTACGTAATTGACATAAAGCTTAATATGCTATGTATAAGTTTATTATAAACAATCACTACCATTTCATTTGACGGTATGTAAATTGCGCCTAACGGTACATTATTTTGGAGACTGATCTATGTATAAAGGTCCACACACATTGTCACTGCGCCATGCGGTTCCGCTCGTAACAGCATTGTTTTCAAGGTAATGATAAAAAACCTAAAATTGATTCATCTAACTTCTTCTTTATACATGTATTGCATCTGAAGGTGTGACGCTTACAGAAGTTATTCCGAGTTATACTCATAAATCTGTTTATTGGGTTCCATCGTATTTTTTGTGGATTTTTCCACGGACCTCTCAATATCGTCTTTCAATGATGAAAATGAACACTTAGGCGTTTTATAATTAACCGAGGTAAGAATTAGAGTAATCAATTTAAATTATATATTTTTATAGAAAACTAATACTTTGAAAGTGAAATTATTAAGCAAGGGTGCTGCGCCGCGTAGTGCTAGTGTGTGCGGACCTTAAGATGTTGAAGGATCAAAATTTGTAACAATATTTTTATGTTGTTTGTGTTTATAAATTGTTTAAGTATAAAATGTGGGTTAAAAGTTTAATGGGAGCAAATGTAACTATTTATTGCATATAGTTTTTCTTAGAAAAAAAAGTAGAGCAATATTCCGCCCATTACAATAACAACTTTATTGCATTGATGATTGTAACTGTAATTCTATGTGTAATACAAGTTATTTCATTGATTCATTGTTTTTGTTACTGTGTTTTGATCCCTTTCACTATCGTAGCAGGAGAGTTCTTCCAGGGTAGTACTGCTACCTTACCTATTTCTGCCACCAAGCACTAATGAGAGCAGTACTGCGTTCCAATTTAGGAGGGTACGGGTGCTGGTGAAATTACTGACATAATGACATTAAATTACCCAACTGTACATGTTGGGTACTTGGTACTTGGTGCAACGGGCTGGTGTCCGCAACTAGACGTCAAGGCGCCTATTTTGCGTGTGGTACATGTTGGGTAATTTAACGGAAAATTTCAAAATACGGAAATTTTCCGGAAAAAATTCTGAAAAATTGGAATAATATTATTTTTAAGGCTTGTATTATGTTCTACGTTAAGATATATCT